GCTGCGCTTCGCTCCGCTCCAAAAATATTCTTTACACAATAATAAAGCCTTTGCATTAATACTGAGATTTTGTTTGCAACCAATCACGTATTTATTTAATCAAAATCCTAGTCTCAAATTTACTGTTGTATTGATTGTATACATTGTTGTGACCAATATCAGGTGGTCGAAGGTCCACAAATAGTTGACAACTGGAGATTCAGTGAGAGTTCGCGACCCTGAACGATCTGGCCACCTTGAACCTAACTAACTTGGCTACACCGGACGACACTAACGCAGATAACTTTCTTTGATGTGAATGTATTTAGTTTAAATAAAAGGTGTAGAACCAATGTGTTGATAGCCGTGTATCATACAATCATAAAGTAACATTACAGAGTTACTTTAATGATAAAAGAGACAATTTTAAAAAGACTAGCCTTATGGCGCGATTCTGTTATAAATATATATTTAATCTATTTCGTTCTAATGATAGAGTTACTACTGACACTGTGAGGTAACGTGTGTAAACGTAGGCCTAATTGAAGTCGGGCAACCAGCCCGATATACAAATAATCAATCTCTCAATACAAATCAATACACAAATATTAACATTGTATATTGATTTAGTTAATAAGACTAGCCTTATGCGGCACGATTCTGTTAAAAATATATATTTAATCTATTTCGATCTAATGATAGAGTTTGTAACAAAGTAGAGAGTCTAAGTAACAAAAGTAATTGAAGTCAGGCAACCTCAAGGTGAAAAATTGAATACCTCAACTTTGATGTTGTTTTGTTTTTTAACCGGAATACAATGTTTTACATCGGTGTACCAAATACTAATATTGTATATTGAGTTAGTTGATTGTTGAAAGTACACAATGTAGATATAATAAATGAGTAATTCACTGGAGTGTTAATGCTCGAGGCAGGGATCCTATGCCATCAATGGCAATATTCGCACACTTATACTTATTACAACTTTTAGGGTTTAATTAACAAGTGATTTCTCAAGCGGTTTTGGTAAAATTATGGTGTGTTAAGTTTACCAAATTTAAATTTGAAAAGCCTTTCCCTATAACAAATTGTTAATTTATACAAATTGTTATTTGGTTGGTGTTTTAAACATTTTCTTTGATTCATGGCCAGATGATATATAATTTGTCGTAACTTGGTAGGTACACTTTTTTGGTGTGTTGAGATAAGTTTAAATAAATGTTAGTTTAAATTCCATTTTACTTTAAGTCATCTGATAGCCCATTTTCTTCGTAAAGGCACATCGATGACATTTTACCTCTTGTAATCTCTTAAAACCAAACTATGCAAGGACACATTTTAAAACTACACTAAAGACAAATCACAGCTTAATAGTATTGATAATTACGTTGGATGCACTTTTTTTGTCCCAACACAAGTTCTTTTAATCGTTTAAGCTTACGCTACATAAATTTTTTAATTTAAGTTTATACTTATTGCAGTACCTTTAAATTTAAATACTAACTCTTGAAAATCCCAATGAGTAAAAGGTATTCGTTTGTATTACCATAATATCTCGATTTTCACTGTTCTCTGACAAATGTAACCAAACTAACAGAACTAAATGATTTTAAAAGTTTAAGGACGCACGATCGTAACAAGTTGTTGTTTTTATAGGCCTGTAAACATGTACACAATACGTACAAATAAAACGTACATTTGTGTACGCTGACACGAATCACGAATCTAATTCAGTATTGTATTGTCTCAGTCTCCCGAGACTGAAATAAAGTCTACACAAATCTCTCTTGTATGTTTCCAATGTTACAAGGATTCCAGCTCCGATGGGGTGAATAAATAAAGATATGGGTCAGTCGAATATCGATCCCGCTGTCATATGCGGGTACTTCCTTATGTTAGCAGTGTAAAAGTATCGCGAAAAGTACATAGCTCCAAGGTTACTTGCTCTGGACAACTGGCTAACATATTAATTTTATATATATAACACAATGTATATATATATATATATATTGTCATTTTCTAAATTAATTCATGTAAGAAACCTACTTCCGCACTTAGAGTAGCCTATTGAAGATTCCAGCTAATTCTTTACAAAATAGTTGTTTTTGTGTGGACAGTAAAATAGATTAGTTATGCTGTATGCAGCGCATTATACAAATTTCATCTTTGAGTGAAAATTTTGAAACGTACGTTTTAATGTCCCTGGCCTTTTACTTCGTACATACTGTATTTTTAGTAAATTTATGAGTTTTAATATTATTTGGGATGGGGGCAACATGTTACAAACATTTATGTGGTTTTATAGGTTCTGGGTATTTCTTTCGTATTTTTAAAGTCTCGAAATTCACGACCATCACGTGTCCCTAGGGTACATTTTTCAACTTTCACGCTGTTTTTAGACTAAGTATTCATGCCGGAATATATAAAGCCATATTTTTATGTCATCAATTTATATTAAAATTGAACTTACAAAAAAGAAGCATATAATAGTTTTGTTTTCATTGCAAACTGACTACCATGACAATATAAAGTAGGCCTGTCCCTCGATTTGACGTCTCGACCATAATGGCAAAGTTTGCAACTTTGGAACACGACAGTGGCAATCCTGGCAGCAATAACGTCAGTTGGTTTTACAGGCCGGTTCGGGATGTGCGTTAGTTTTGTTGTGCCAGTGGTATTGAAGTAAAAAAATGAGAACAAGATTAATATACGTAACTTTGTGCTTTTTGTAATTTTGGTGTGTCCACGACCGTACATAGTCAATTTAATAACGTAGATATGGTTTTAATTTTTGTTGGTATGACATTTTAATTGCTACGTTAACCTAGAAATCCACTTTGTCTCCTCAAACATGAGGTGTAAGGCTGCTACCAGAACAGAGCCAAATAATACGTGATTTCACGACTAGGCCATCACGACCATCACGGGTTTTTCACGGCCAAAAAAGCTTTATCAATTTTGTACTGTGTTATGGTTGTGAAAATAAATTGTAATATCATTGTAAATTGTACAGTTTAGTTTAATTGTAGTACAATTAATTGAAGGATGTATATAAATTAGATTATTAACTATTTTTACATAGACAGGTGTATTTATTGCCTTATATAAGTTAAAGCTTACAGTGTATAGGAGTTATGTCTAAAACTATTACAGTTTAAAAATTAATTATGGTTTATTAAGTTTTCTGGAATATTATAATAATAAGAGTAGTGAAAGGAAAACCTCAATAAACAATATAGTGATTCTCGTTAATCACCAATTCCAGACCGTAACACTTGTCCCTGATCACAACGTTGATGATTTGGATCATAAGAAAATTCAAAAATTGATATAGCCTATCATCATATACCAATGTTTTATACACACAAGAAGGACGCCTCTTTAAAATCATAAAGGACAAGATACAAGATATAGGGAACGTTTGTTCGGAGCTATACAAACACAAAGAGATTTGTTCAGCTTTTTTTTCAATGTTGTTATTTTTTTGATTTTTTTTTTTTTTTTAATACCAAATATACCAAAAGCTTAGTGAACTGTTTATTGCAAAACGGCCCTAAAAGTAATCTATTTACAGCAAAACATATTTATAAAAATATCATTCACTATTTTTAATATTCATTTTTGGCGTTAAGATGTACTTCATTAAAGGTTTATAGGTTAAACAATAACGGAATAAAATGTGCACTATAAAAATAACTAATAAAATCTCCTTTGATTTCTCTGATGTGATCACAAACTTTTTGTAAGTTCTTTTACGGCCATATAGATGATAACCCGTAAAATAATAGGACGAAATACAATTCACCTGTGATGTTAGTGAAAATAATTCCTAAAGCTATCCTGAAAATAATCTGAACATATCTAGTAAACAATATGAAGTTTACACTGCATTTCTTAGTAAATAATTGAAAGAGCCGATTTGCAAACTATGGAATCATAGGAAAGTCATAGAACACCACCAAAGAGAAGAAATATAAATGTTTTTTTATTATTTATAATCGTGATTATGGACTACTTAATGCGGCTATGAGTAAAGATAATTATTGTAGAAACCTTATGACATGTTCTAATTGGTAAAATAACCAACCAATCTTTCGAAGATTTTCTCTAATGACATAGATATTAATAATGTATATTATAGGTATAACTTTATACAAGGAAATTTTGTTAGGCAATGACAATTTGTAATTAGTAGCTAATTAAGTTTACAAATGTTATATTTCATTTGCAGTCTCTTGCACCAGGTATGAGTTCTCCCAATTTCTCCAATTTAACCTTTTATCAAGGGTACGGCCTAAATATTTTACACTTCCTACCATTATCAGGCTACGTCATTTATTGATACTGGAAGACCATTTTTTCTCAGAGTGAAACCAATACAGTATTTTGTTATGACTTGTTTTCGTTCACTTGTAGCCTCAACTTTTTAAGCAAATGCTGGAGCTCATTCAAGGCAGCTTGTAGAGTATTGGAAGCAGCTTGAGGGTTCACATGACTTGAGGACAGTGCAGTCATCAGCACTCTGTTGTAATGGAGTATCATTTGTGTTATATTAGCACCTGAAGTTATTAAATATTCAACCAATTATGAAAATACAAAAAGATTTTTGTTTATCTTTTAAAGAGTATCAACTCAATGAAAAATTGAGATACGATGGAGTCTGATTATTCGCCCAATTTTGAGGAAATTCTATGGATTGAAAAAGCTTAAAATTAGGCCAAAAACTCTTGCTACACTACCCAGTAAGCAACTTCCTTCTGGTTTTTTTGTACCAGAAATTCCTCCTTGTTTATACGGAATGGGCAGACCTGGCCTTAGACGAAAGGTGCGGTTGCACATTGCACAGGGCCCCCACCTCAGGGCTCAGGGCACCCTGCCCTTGGTGGAATATACACACACAAAATATGAGTCAGTTTATTTTACGTGAATAATGTAGAAAGAAAAAGGGGGCAAATATATTTACTAGCATCATAAGAGGTTAACATTGTTAGGAGTTTAATTGATATGATTAATTCTGATTGTACATTAAACAAAATTTATTAACAGTTTTGACATAAAGTATTTTTATTTAATCATTACAAAGTTATCAATAATTAATTTCCAAATAATTTAAGCTTATATTACAAAAAATACAATATGTGTAAATACAAGGTATACAACAAGATATAAATACAATGTCCGACACAATCAATCTATCTTTTCTTTTTCATCGAAAGTTTTTGAAGTGCTGCTTGTCTTTTAGCTTCGATTTCTTGTTGAGTGCATAGTTTTGGTGCAGAGGTTGTCACTTGTTTACTCTTGGATTCATCTGGAAAGTTAAACATTACAAATGATTACTTATTATTCAAGCATAGGAATTGTAGTTTTGGGGATGGTCAAGTCTCGAAATTTAGGAAAATTTTAAATCCCGTTACACGAGACGAGATTTCTTTTTGGCCGAGATTTTTATCGAGACAAGAATAAAAAAAAATAATAAAAAATAAATTAAAAACGCCTGCAGAAAGTCAATGCAATACCCGCAATACAGGAGCGTGTTGTAGTTGCGTTTCCTTTGCGAAGGCGTTCTTATTTAATTAATTCTTTAAATGTAAATATTACTTTAATTATTTTAATAATATTACTTTAATAACATTTGAGAAGTTTTGTTAAGTGTAAGCAGTGTGAGGAATGTTTTATTACTATAAAAAGTCAAAACAAGTAACTATTTTATAAAAATTATAATTGTTTTTATTTTATGATTTATTTTATTTTAGGATAAGTTTAACTCCATCCTAACTGATATCACTATGTTTCCTAATCATAGGCATTTTTAATAAGTTAGGCGTGATTAATAAAAAAATGTTATGCTGATGTTTTTTAATAAAAGATTGTAAATATTCTTGCCTATTATCATTATTTTTGTATTTAAACAGTCATCTAACAATGTTACAAAATCAGGTAAAAATTTTGAACGTGCATTTCCCGTTGTGTATGAGAAGGGAAATCCCGTCTCGATCTCGTCTCGAAATTTTATGAGAAATAAAAAATCTCGTCTCGTCTCGAACTAAAAATCCAATCTCGTCCATCCCTAGTATTTATCATTTTAAAACGTTTTTATTAGCTCGCTTTCTTGTATGTTCGGTAAAAATTTTACAATCGATTTTAAACTTACTTCCTGATGAGCTAGAGACTTGAACCTTGAAATAATTGTAAATTAGCTGCTTCATGTGTCTTTCGTTTTAAATCTTACAATTATTTATTCTCTCCACATATTTATAAATTATTTTTTTCTTTCTAGTGCGTTTAAAAATGTGGTATTTTAAAAATATTTGTAATTATAAATTATTTTATATATAGGGTGTCCCACGAAGGGGTTTAAACGTTTGATTTTATATTATTCATGCACCGAACTTTTTTAAACTTTACACAGTTTACAAAGAAGGTTCTAAAAATATTCTGGAAAAATTTCAACTCCCTAACCTTAGTAGAAACAAAATGGCGGCATATTGAAAAATTTACCAATTTGCTTCCTATAAAAACGACTTTTATGATTAATTATCTGATTTGTTTACTACGTTGCGGTTCTAACGCTCATTGTTGAAGAACAGCTGTTTGATTGTAAAATGAGGTTTAAATGAACAGCTTGCCCCATTTGACGGTACCAGAAATGAATCAAGCAATCTTTTCAACAAGATGGTGCACCACCTCATTTCGCAAATCCTGTCAAGCAATTGCTAAATGGCAACCTTCATGGCCGTTTGGATTGGTCGTGGAAATGATTTTTTAGATTGGCCACCCCGATCACCTGATTTTACTGTTTGCGACATCTTTTTATACGATTTCTTGAAGGAACAAGTTTATACCCATAGCTTCAATAATGATGAGGAACTAAAACGATCAATAGAAGAGGAACTTCTCTGGATACCGCGGAGTTTCTTTGTAAGAGATTAAGAATAATTTGTTACGCGCTGTTATCAGTGTGTTGCTGTGGATGGGTTACAGTTTGAATAATTTTGGACATTAAGGTTTTCCATTAAGGCTATGTTCTAGTTTTTTTTTATTTAAGTCATATTGGCCTGGAAAGTAACAATAAAAATATTTGATAAAACCAAAAACACCTTCTTTAATCTTTTTAAAGCATCGTTTTTCAATATGCCGCCATTTTGTTTCTACTAAGGTTAGGGAGTTGAAATTTTTCCAGAATATTATTATATCCTACTTCTTAAACTGTGTAAAATTTAAAAAAGTTCGATGCATGAATGGGCACGTAATATAAAATCAAACGTTTAAACCCCTTCGTGGGACACCCCGTATAACCGTTTTTACAAACTGAGCCGTGACTATTTCCACCGGCGAATGTCACAACTAATTTTTTGTTTCAAGTTGTCATGTGTTTTTGTTTAGTATGTGTTTTGCCATTGTCGATGTTTTGATATCACCAGTGGACCAGTGCTTTGCTGTCTCTTCGAGGAGTTCGTTTTACTCCTGACGTCTTAGAGGCTCAGCGGCGTTTGGATTGATACCATCAAACTTCTTTTTAATCGTATTCAATCGTTAAAATGAGACCTTCTTGGGTTTTATTTTCCTCTTTAAAGTGTTCTACGTGACAGTGATGTGTGAATAAATAAGTTCGCCGTCAGTGCCTAATGAGCCCCGGAGGAGAGAGCACCACTACACTGTGGGCATCAGCGGAGAGGCATCTTTCAGCCCAGCTGGCTTTGAACTCTGGCCACCACTCCGCTCTGCTGTGTAGCCCTTCTGGTGTGCGTCGTGACCCGTCCATAGATTTCTGCCATCTGCTGCAAGTTATTTTTGCTTTTTTTTCAAATTTCAAAGTTATTTATTAATTGTTATTTATTTTCAAATTTTATCTCACTTTTTTTGTGCTGTTATTTAGTTTTAAGCACAGCGTTTTATTTCTTATCATTCATTCTTATTAATTCTTTGATATAGGGGGCCCCTTTACAGTTTAAATATGGTTTCAATGGAATATTTATTGTTGTTGGATTTTTAATTGTTAATTTATTTTTGATGGAATTTAATAGGCATAGATCATTCTAAAAAAATAAAATAAAATCCTTAGAACTAAATTTTTTATAATAAAAACTGTAAGCTTATAGGACCGTTGAAAAAAAAGAAAGAAGGCGGTTTGCATGTATTATTGTTATTGGTTATTGTTTTAAAGGTTTATTACAGTTTGTTCCTCTCAAACAGCGAGTTGTTCTTGAACCTTTCCTCCACGGTTTTTCTTGTTGTTAGGTAGAGCTGTGAGCCAGTCCTCATTCCTGCACATGGGATCACGCTCCCAATTGTGCGTTCACTTGGGTGCAGGTGCAAGGGCGTTGTTCAAAACAGTCAAATATAAATTTGTGTTCCAAAAACACCAATTTCTCAGTTTGATGAACAGTATTATTATATTCATTTAGACAAATCTGATAATTGGTACCATTTTGAATGATTTTTTGCTTTGATAGTTCGGATTTAGTTTATACAGCCAAAGGTTCATTAGACTCCAGTTCACAATAATTACACAGCATAAACCGTCTGTTTTGATAAGCCCTGTATATATGGTGGAAAGGGATTCAAAAAGTGCTATGAAGATACCAAAGGAAGAGAGAAGATAGTGTCACTAAGTCAGGAGACAGCAGAACAAGGTTCTCTTGCACCTTGGTTGGTGATGCTAATTATTGTGGATTAGCATTACACACCAATATACAGCTCTGTCTAACAAGTGTAACTTTAAAACAATCTGCACGTTTAACTTTAATGCAGACTTTCTCAGGAGATTAGTACCGTACTCTTATTTATGTAAGCATTAAACTAATTTTTTTATGTCTGCATTTTGTGTTGGATTCGTTAAAACCAGTTCATCCTTCAATAAGGTGGAGTAATGTCATAACGTCTATATGGCATGCATAATACTATTATAAGTTTTGTGGAAAAAACAAGTTTTTATCTGGTAAGATATAGAAAATGAATGTAAAACATACATAAAATTATCATAGACAATTTCCCAGTGAGAACTGGATATGTTGTCCACGCATTCAGGGTGTGGCTGAGATTGTCTACTCCTGCCTCTCCCATTGAAATCATTCCTTCCAATAACCAAACAATATCTGTTCTGAAATCTTCCATTCACCGAAAAATTTAAATAGTAAATTAATTTTTATATTACAAATAATTACAAATAACATTTTAGTTTTGTTGATTAAACGGTAAATTATATTTAGTTGGATTTACTTACTTTCACGGCAAAGAGAGTCAACATCCAAGTTTGAGAGTTCCAGATCAAAATCATCATCAAGTAATGACTGAAGATCTATTTTATCATCTGTAAAAGTTTAATAAAATATTTATACATGAAAATATAATATTCTCCTTTGATGTATACAAAACTATGTAAATTGAAGTCCGTTCAGATTGTAGGCGGTTTGGGGAGAAATTTTTCTGGGTTTCCTCACCATTTTTTTGCTTAACCCATTAGCCTAGACTAGGCCAATGGGTTAAGAGTAGGTAGACATATGAGACCGTCTCGTAGCGTCGCGAACCAGGTTAGATGTAGAGATACAAGACAGTCCCGTAGTAAATTACAATCTTACTTTCATCTGCTTCAGGGTCAACGTAGTTCCGTACTTTGCTGACAGATGGGGAGGGGAGTCAGTTTTACACATTTCTTTGTCAATAATGACAATTATTGAAAATTTTGTTATATTAATACTACTTATTTACAAAGACGATTTCACAGTCCATTTCTAAGGCCTACAATGACAAAACAGGTTACCATACTTTAACTTTATTTTGTTATATTTTATTAAAAATATACTGATTTGTAATATCTTGAATTGCAGAGTCTTTTGTTTTCTTATGTTGGTAATATATTTCATTGTGGACGTTAGCCTCCGGATTGCCAAATAATATTAAAAATTGTTCAAATACCTGCTATTAGGCAATCCAAATGTTGTTGTAGACACAACTAGTTTCGGCACCTGTGTGGCACCATCTTCAGGTTGTACAAGAATCTGGACTCAAACTCCGCTGGGTTAGCGTCGTCTGTTACATAACTAACTGATCAGTTACCATAAATGTCTCGTGTTAGTGTCTGTATTTTTTTTAAATGTATATTTATTTTTGTGTTAACTAATGTGACGCTCTTCGTATGAAGACAGAACCCAGTCCTTGTACAGAAGATGGTGCCACTCAGGTGCCGAAACTAGTTGTGTCTACAACAACATTTGGATTGCCTAATAGCAGGTATTTGAACCCTTTTTTTGGTAATCTATACATGTGTTCACATTTTGTCATAATACCGATGAAGTTGTCAGTTTGTTTTGGCTAACCTCTCAAATGTGTTTCGGTTGTTGTTTTGTTAGAAATGAATATTGTGAATATTATAGAAATCATAGACCTAGTACAGGTCGGCCAAAGTTTCTGTGCGCGCGACCAGATCTGGTTGAGTCTAGGCGAGGGGGTTGGTGGGGGTACTTTTGTGAAAACATTTGTGTCTTGCTACTCACTCACCACTACCCCCAGCACTGCCAATAGCCGGTGGCCGTATGTTTTAGTTCGGCTAGTACCGACCCGTCCACGCGCACAGAAGTTTTGGCCGAGCTGTACCAACGGTTGGTGGCGGAGGATACAATAGCCTAAATGACTAAACCACTTTACTATACAACCTGAACAATTTAGGCCTGTACCTACTTAACCACCTAAAAATTCCAAAGAAAAACCAAATCCAAACAGTCTAGACCTAAGCAAAATCAAAAAGTTAAAAAATCAACCCACAAAGAAAATAACCTGCATTCCAGGACTCTGATTGGCCTTGGTTAGACGAGGACAATGCTGCCAAAAAAATTTATTTTTTAGGTAAACCTGTAGTAAATGTTTGGGTTTAACGTAGTCTTGTCGTAAATCCAACTGAACTTGACTGTTACAAAACAATCCAACTGATTGTTTTGGACAGTTTGTTCGGGAAGAATTTTGGCAGATGCTCTGCATAGAAACAACGACTACGCCAGAAAACAGCTCCTGGATAAATCAAGGAAATCGCTAAAAACTTATGAGAAATGGCGTGATGTAGATATAGCAGAAATGAAGGCGTAATTTTCACTTTATGTGCTGATGTGTTAGCTGGAAAAAAAACCCTCTATACAAATGTACTGGGCTCACAGAAAAATAATAGAGACTCCAATATTCAGCAACACCATGTCAATGGAGCATTTCAACGCTATATAATATAGGTTTCTCCATTTTTATGACGAAGCGACAGAAGACTTGGCAAATGATAAATTGAAGAAAATTCGACCAGTAATTAGATATTTAGAAGCAAAATTTTTACAAACATACAAGCCAGAGAAGAAAATTGCTCTGGATGAAACTTTACTGAAAATGAGATCTCTTAAATTATTCAATTCAACCCCAAAAAAGGGCCCGTTTTGGGGTAAAGACCTATGAAGTATGAGAGTCATCTTCTGGCTACTGTATAGTTTTCAAAATATATGTTGGGGATGACAAGCAAGACAATATGTTAGCGAGTACATCAGTGACTCTGGATCTTTTACAATATTTTTTCGAGAAAGGGTATATAGCCTATCTAGATAATTGGTACACTTCTCCATTGTTGTACACTTCTCTTTTGAAAGAAGACACGTATGCTGTAGGAACAGAAATTTCAAACAGACATTGTATGCCTAGAGTATTCCAAACAACTAATTTGGACCAGGGAGATATTTTGTGAGAAGGTCTGGCAGAGGAGTACTGGCAATAAAATGAAAAGACCGTAAAGATGTCTACATCTTGTCAACATTACACGAGAGTGTTGAATTGGAGACCGCGACACTCCATAGTAACATCCATAGTAGTGAACTGAAGAGGTTGAAATAAATAAACTAAAAGCAGTGATTGATTATATATAACAGTGGAATGCTGAGAGCTGATAGGCCAGACCAGCAATTGTCATGCTTCCCAATTATACGGCGAAACGTCAAAGCCTACACAATAGTTATTTGTGTAACTAGTGGTGAAAGTGGCACTTTGCTGCACACGAGAGCAATGTTTACGCACGAGCCGCAGGCGAGTGTGGAATGATCTCGAGTGCAGCAAAGGCCTTTTTCACTCGTGTTACACATTATATTTTTCCTACAGTCACTATAAAGCATATAAATAATTAGTCTTTCAAACACTATGCAACACGTTTTTAGGTTCAGCTGGCAACACAAATGGTGCCCTAGAGAAAGTAGTACCCGCGGTCCATATCACTCCGCTATTTTTCCTCGGCAAGAAATGTGCTCTGCGTTTTGAGAATATAGTTCCATATGTTTTTGTAATTAGAAGTGTTTTCCGCGCCTAAAAAAAATGCTTAAAAGGTATTTTCTTGTTTATTAAGATCGTAGGAAGGTTTTAAAAACGTTTAAAAGAAAAGTCCAGAAAGTTCAGAAATACCGAAACTATAAACACGAAATGACAGGTTAAATCGTAGTTATAATAGTCAATCAGCTGCTCTTAGTATAATTACCTTTAAGTGTTGCCAACCTATTTCCAAGCGTACACGGATTACGTGCATAATGGAACCACGCTGTTTTGTGTTGTTTCGTTGGAATCCTGATGTGCGGCAAAGTATAAACCGTACGGCAAAGTATAAACCGTACGGCAAAGTATAAATATGCAGCAATTAGCAGCTTTCTGTACTATAAACAGTACAAGGAAGCCAACTTTGTCGGGTGACTGTAGGAAAAAATATTTTTTTATATAATGGATATGCTGTTTTGTAGCATTGAAAATAAAATAAAATAAAACAATGCCTATTGTATTTTCAAGAAGGTTACTGGAAATGCTCCATTATACAGATTTACAACTAAACTCGGTTGACCAGCTCCTTCTTTCAGTTACACTTCCCCAGCGAACAACTCCTGGTAGAGCACCTATTGCGGACTCACCCCTAAGGCTTCAGTCTAAAAACTGGGGTCATTTCCCTTACAAATCCCTCCAACTGCATGTAATCAGTTCCCAACCAGGCCCTGCAAAGTGTGCACCAAACACAAAAAGAGGGCTGAATTCAGGTAGATGAGTGAGAAGTGTCAAGTACCCCTTTATCTATAAAACTGTTTCAAAGACTACCACACAAAAATGGAGTACTGAGCTTTATCAAAGTGTTGTAAATAGATAGTTTTTGTAAATATAGGTACTTTAGTGCTGTAAATATAGTGAATATAAGTTAGTGAATAGCAATTCTGACCAAGTCACAAATGGAGTAACAATGGGAGCAGTTTTGCTGGCGCCATTCTCAAACGTAAAGTGGGCCTATGTCTGGTTTAGAGTTATTGTGATTTTATTGCATTAAAATGCTGCATAAATTAAGACTAAAAAACAAAAGACTAAGTTAAAAAAGCAAGTGTACAGAGTGTTTTTATAATAGTCTTAAAGATCTCCCCATCAAAAGCCTAAGTGCTACAGGGTAGATGTTTTTTCAAACACTCAAAACCCAACAGCACAAGTAAGCTCACTCTCCATGTGGAGTGTTCCAAGAATCAGGAGAACCACAATAAAGAAAATGCAGATGAAGACTCATCTCCATCATTTCCAAGAAAGAAAGAGAGCAAAAAGTGGATCACAGTTTACAAGAGGAAGTTCTTGAACTTGACAATAAGGTAAAGAGGCTTCGCCTTGATTGTAAAACTTGAGCTCGGGTCGAAAAGAGTCACTTTAGGACATTAAAAAGTGATTAAATATACTATTTTATATTAGTATAATTTTTATTTTGGACATTCATCAACCATAATCCATCTTGAATATATCGAGAAACATGTAACCTATCTATATTTAGAAGTATAACAAGTCCCTAATTTCGCAACTCTTTAGTTATAGGCTAAACATTTTTTTATATTATATCTTGTCAAAAATTATGTTTAAAACACAACAAAATCTGAAAGCTTTGTGTATTTGTATGTTGGAATCTAATATCAATGAAACAATTCCTCATCTGCCTCACTCATATTTGGGAAACAGATTTAAACACATCCTCAGATGATAAAAAAAAAACTTTTCCTACAGTCATCCGACAAAGTTGGCTTCCTTGCACTGATTATAGTACAGAAAGCTGATAGTTGCTGCATTTACTTACTTTGTCACACCGTTCATACTTTGTCGCACGGTTTATACTTTGTCGCACGGTTTATACTTTGGCGCACACCAGTACTGTATTCCAACCAAAACAGCGTGGTTTTATTATGCACATAATCCGTGTACGCTTGACAACAGTTTGGCAACACTAAAAGATACTAATACTATAATCAGCTGATTGACTATTGATACTGCGATTTAACCAGTCATTTCGTGTTTATATTCTATTTTCGTTCAACGCTTGGTTTGAACATAACCTTAAGTGTAGTATTTGAAAGAATAATTATAAGTGGTCCTAATATGTTTAAAAATAATAAACACAGTGAAAGTGATTGTGAATATTAGTGTACATAAGAAGAGACAGCAGAAACTACAAAGCATGTTTCATTAGACCTGTTACTTAAAAAATCAAGAAATAAGTATAAACGAGCATTCAAACTATTTTCTTCTTGCTGCGTAGGTAAAAAAGTTACAACTGATTATTACTTAAAATCCATGTTTTAGCCCCTGAGCTGTATGATAACTAAAATGTTACAATGCCACATGGCATTGTAATGCAGAAACGGCCGTAACGTAGTTACACCACAAGAATTTGAGCTGCAGCGACGAAGGTAAAGCCTATTTTAGTGATTACTACTGCTTATACGTGTACTTTTGAAAATAAGTAACACTTAAAGATACTACGATTACAATAAGCTGGTGCAGTATTTCCCATTCTGTTTAACGCTTAGGTTTAACGTAACTTGTTGTTGTATAGTGTTTAGAAGACTAATTTTTTATTTGCTATATAGTGACTGTAGGAAAAATATAATGTGTAACACGAGCGCAAACAGTCTTTGCTGCACTCGAGTATTTCTCTCGTATGCAGCAAAGTGCCACTTTGCTCACTAGTTACACAAATAACAACTATAGTTCTTTACTCGGTATCCTACTTGACCAATTTAGCTAGGTAATTTTAGGTAAGTGTATTTTCCATGGTTTCTACGTTAAGTGCAGCAAACACAGACAAACCATCGTTTGAGTAGTTCATTAGCTTGTTGAAAGTTGTTTACTCAGAAACTAGGTTATGTTTATATGCAGCCAACGTTGCTTTGCCAAACCTCAGCTGTTTGAGCTGTTGTTCCAAAGATCTCGTTCGGGGGATGAAATTGCTTCCTTTAAAACCACGTAAATTTTGTGAACGAAATGTACCTAGTTAAGATCTCCCAGCAATAGCTGACAAACTTGATCATAATTCCTCTTGTATGTTAAATGTATCATACTTCCTTTGGGGAGTTGAAATGAAATATGAACCACAATATAAAACAGAAACAGTAAAAGAATAAAATATAAATAATATACAAATATACTTGTAAAGAATGTTCCCAAACGGAAAATTTCATTAGGCTCTGAGGTGCAGACATATCTTACCTTGTAAGGTGGAGTTCAACATTGGCCTCTGTGGTTCATTCATTTGGTGTGATGGCCAGTTTACTTGTTTTACACTTGGCTGACTTCTTAATGCACTAGAACTGGGCGGTTTAACAAAATTGGCTTCATTTCTTTGATAGTTGTTACTATTTTGTGGTTTGCAAATCTTATCTAAATCTTTTTGATTTGAGGTGTTAACATGTAATATTTTGGTACAACCAAAATTTGAAGATGTTGAGCCACTTTTATTGGTTGGATTATTGATGAATTCTGAAGTATACTGAGAAACATTGTCCTGGACTAAATTTTGATGACTTGAGTTCATCTGCTTTTCAGTTGCTTTTACGTTGATTTTATTCTGATTCAATACATTATTTTTGGAAATATTAGTACTTCCTGTTGATGTATTATGTAGGGTTTTATTTGAAGAGCTGCTGTCACACTTCATTTTATTTGAAGTTGAATTACTTTGCACAGATTTGTTTGATTCCACAAATAAATGAATTTTTGTATCATTTCTATTACTAGAATTTTCAGCTAACATTGAATTATTTTTTTCTTTGCTTGTAGGCCATATCTCTTCATTATTTCTACTTTCAGGAAAGAGATTGACCCTTCCAAGACATGACTTTTTATTTGACATACTATTTTCTATTAAAGGACTATGGTGTCTTTTTGATTGTGAGATTTGTATATCTACGATTGGTCCCATATCAATTTCACCATTTTTCAATTTCTCTTCAATTGCTTGGCTACATTCTATCATTAAATCATTGGCAGAGTCATCAAGTAATAAATTATCTTCAATTTTTTTCTTTGAAGATAGTGACAACCTAGTAACAGGTCTTTTTGGAGTACTACATGATTGGATATCACTTGCAGAAACCTCTTCTAAATTATTGTTTGTAGAATCATACAAAACATCAGATGAACCTGAAATACATATTGAATATTTAAACACACAGATGAGATGAATTAAATGAATTGTAGTATAAATAATACAAATACAATACTATATTTTTATTTTTAAAAGACAATCAACAGTAACCGCCAAAAGTAATTCCTTAAATTCGAGATGGATGGGTTACTTCCCCTTTGGTTTATTGAGAATTGGTAAATTATATCATTATCACTATAACTAATATGAGATGAAGAACAAAGTAATGGTTATTAATTGTAACCAAATAAGCGAATAGTGTGTGAGAGAGGGATAAATGTTATTTCCTTTTTAATTTATTTACTGACTACGACTAGCTGTTCTTTAGCGGTGAGCGGCATTGCTTTGAAAGACACAACTCTGAAAAGCACAACCACAAAAAGAATTTTCATCTAAGGCACTGCTCCCAAAGAATGAATTAAATGTAACACTGTGGCACTGTTGTGAAAATGGTATGATGCTGATGCACTGCTCCGAAAAGAATGAGGTGCTGAGCCACTGATCCAAAAATAACGTGATGCTAAGGAACTGCTCTGAAATGAATGTGATGCTGAACCACTGCTCTGAAATGAATGTGATGCTGAAGCATTGCTCTGAAATGAATGTGATGCTGAAGCACTGCTCTGAAATTAATGTGATGCTGAGGCACTGTTTCAAAAAGAATGTGATGCTGCAGCACTGCTCTGAAATGAATGTCATGCTGAACCACTGCTCTGAAATGAATGTCATGCTGAACCACTGCTCTGAAATGAATGTGATGCTGAACCACTGCTCTGAAATGAATGTGATGCTGAACCACTGCTCTGAAATGAATGTGATGCTGAAGCACTGCTCTGAAATGAATGTGATGCTGAGGCACTGTTTATAAAAGAATGTGATGCTGAGGCACTGCTATGTGATGCTTAAGCACTGCTCTGAAATGAATGTGATTCTCAGGCACTATTCTTTACGGAATTTGCATGCTTATGTACGGCTGGGAAGCTGTTAAAATTGTTATAAGAATTCTAAAATTTAAATCATAACAATTTTATGTTGGCTCTGGGTTGGCCAATGAACCTTGCCCACAAAGTAATGATTACATTTTAATTTATGCTATCTTTAACTGCGTGCCTTTAAATAAGATATTTTTTTATATTCTTATTAAAAATAATACTTCCAATATCAAATACTTCCAATATCACTTTTGCAAGTATTCTAACATAAAAATCTTACAATTCCAAAAGTACACTGGTCAAAAAATGAAATCCAATAAAACATTATACGGGACATATTTACCCCAACACAAGCTCTTGTGTTCTGGTGATAGGCCTAGGCAGGCAATCTAGGCTTAAACAAACTGATGTAATCAAACAGCTGACTAGTTAAAAAATGTTTTTGCAAAGTAATCCTAAATTGTCTTGTCCCAACTTACTTTCAACAGACTTAATGCCCAATATGTTTTTGTAGAATTCAAGTCTTTTCTGGTTTTCCTCCTCGGTGATCTGCTTCTGCTGAGGAGGAAAAGGTCGATGGAACATGTTGATGTTTGGCAGGTTAGGTGACTGCATCTTTACATCTTGTTTTCGTTTGCTTTTTTTCGGTGGTACTGAAAGAGAGAGTAACATTTTCTTATTGGCATGTAGCTAAATTAATGATAACATAAACATCTCTTAAAGTTGTTGCTATTTTGAAGGCTGATACTGACAAATTATAATTTTTCTGAATATTAACAAACACAATGGTGCACAAAATTTTAATGTAAGTGGGGTACATTATTACAGTTCTACAGTGAGTAGATTGTACATGGTTTGTGGACTCAATTCTGTATTTGTGTGTGTATGTCTGTTGGTAACGCTAACTCAACTAATCATAAAAAAAACTAACGCAATCTATTAAAGTTTTTAATAAATTTCCCTGACATTACTTTATTTTCAAAAATGTCCCCTGACATGCAAACTTTTTAAAAAACTTTCCCCGACTATCCAGGTCCGTGGGAACCCTGCCAATTAAGGTATTCAGACCTGTACCTGCAACGAGGAAGGAGTTTTGAAGTTCAATCACCTCCCTTGATCTAAGGAAAAATAAATAGAAAAAGGACAGAATAAATTTTGCTAAGTGAACAATATTCCAACAAATCTACGTTTAAAGGGCAATGATAAGAGGCTAGTAAATTTCATCTCTAGGGCGTAAAAAGTGACGATTAGTTTCAAACCTAAGCTCAAGTTTCACGACCAAGGTAAAGCCAAGGTTGGAAAATGGGCGAGGATTGAAAACACCCTTTTTGCCCTTGTGATGAACATATTTTTTGTCATACTGCAACATTATTTCGTAAACTATGATAGAAAACAAAAATGCATTTCATGGAAAGATAACCTCACAAAACAATTTCCAATATGTTTTCAATTTTGCTGATGCAAATGTGCAGTTGTTAAGCAAGTGATTCAATAATATCGTCTATTATGATTGTGTTAGTGTACAATATATACTAACAATTTGTTGAATGATTTAGGTATGCAACAATTAGCTACATACAATCTATTAAATTAATTGATACATAGTAGCAAAACATGCAATTGCTTACAATCATTTAAAACTGAAACTAAAAAGGCTTTTTACTCCCTATGGAGTAAAAGGGCAACTGCCAACTTTGGACCTGCAAAACAAGTAGCCTATTTAAGAACAACTGTTTTTGCTGCAGTATGATGAAAATAAATAGGCTATATTACATCACCTATTACTCCCCTTTGCACAATGGCTACGCTAATGACAAATACCCCTGCCGCAGCAAACCTGCAGACTAAGCAAATTTCAACTTGTCTGATTACATTTTTACTAAAATATGTCCATAAATAAGACATATTTATTCCCTATTTAAATAACATTAGATTTAAAGAGTGCTAGATTCATCCAAGTTACATCTATGAACATGTTACTTAAAAAAAATGTTATAACAGGCTAATTATTGTATCAACTAATTCATAATAGATAGAACTACATGGTGGCTGAGATACAAAGGCAATTAATCAAAATGTCAGACTGTTGCGCCAACATTCATTATTCATAACTCGTTGTGCTTACTAATTATTATAAATAGTAAATCTGTATTCTTGCCCAACATTCAGTACTTACACATTTCTTTAGGAATTTGAGAACAGCTCCAATCCCACGAGACCTCTATCTCAGGAGATCTAAACGTTCCAGGAAACATCATCATACACCCAGGACTTGGTAGTGGGGAACACGGAGACTCGGGCTGGACAACTGTGTTGTGTTTGGGAGTGACACAACCTGTGGGCTGACTCTTGCCTGTACAAGCAATCACACAAAATATAGATACGTGAACATTTGTTTACTCATGATAAAGGATAAAATATACATTTCACATCAAAAGAATAAAATAGGCCTACTAATGTTTGAAAATAACTAGGGCAAACCCGTCGAAATCGACGGTTGCTTTTAAGGCTTACGACAATTCTTAATAGGTAATAAATAGGTGTAGAAACAATAATGACTATTGCGTTTTGCGTTAGTTACAAAATATGGTTGATCATTCAATGAATAATATATTTCTTATACCCTCTGTCATAGGAGTTATTGTTCCTATGTTAACTGGTTTATCTTCTTTTTGATGAATATAATATAAATAATGCTTTTGGAAGAATCTTTTAATAGTATTCGTACACACTTCTGCGATTTCATCAGAGTTATGCAGATTAAATCTGTATTTTTTTTTATACATCTGTTTGTTGAGAAGGCATGTTCTTACTTCAGAGGCCCACCCTTATCAAAGGAAACTTATAATAAATAAATAATTACTACATGAACACATATTATTTCTATATAGGAGGGTAATTTTTAAAGTAGGGCCATTTATGTGTATAACTTCTAACTTCTTACTAAATACAGTACTAATACTAGTACAGTGGCTCCTCACCACTTACTGGAATAATTTTTTTTAACAAAACAGCACCATTTGCAGCTCTCTAGCTGACAAGTATACTTTGCTCTGTGTGTGTGTGTCTATAAAACGTTTAAAACTATTGATTATCCGTCTCATGTGAGATAAGGTCAGTGATATGATTTTTGGCAGCAAGAAACAAATCAGCTACAGACATTCATTACCAAATGACTGAATGCAATGATAGAGGATAACCATTTCTCCAGTAAAGAAATGGCCGTTAAAATTTTAGTAGATACCCAGACTTTGCAGAGGACCACAAAGGAAAGGTTTTTTTTGCCATTTTTACGCTCACTAACCCATTTCTGCACTTTACCTAACCCTCACTTATTCATTGAATTAGGGCCATAACCTTTAGTTATCTGGCAATATATATCTACATCGGATATGTTTCTTGTCAAAAAACTTATTACTGACCTTAAATGCAGTGGGAGATTCAATAATTTTTTCTTAACACCCAGCGAACCATACACGTCAGCTACAGATCAAAAGTTCCAACCTGTTTATCCACAATGATGACAGTAAGCGGCAAGCCACCTCGTTGCGGTGTACACCCAAACTGCAGTGTAAAACATGGAGTAAAAAATTACAGATGACCCTTGTGCTAGTTTCAATAAGGGGTTTCCCTTCTATGACATCCTTTTTTTTTTGCCTGTAGGTCCTACCTTTAACCAGTGTTTATGATTGAAGTTTCATTTTTTTAAACCTTATGATCTCTTAGCGCATGATCGAATGGTAATTAACAAGGTTGTTTTAGGAATTTACCCCCTAAGGATTTTATTTATTTTTAGAAGGTGCTTTCAACAGTCCAGCGATGCTAACAAACTTGGTTTATAACTTATAAGGGTTTTAACGGAGAATTGCAATTTATCAGCTGACTAACTGACTAATTTCAACTGATTACCTTCAGTTTCATTTTTTTACCAAAGTCAGGTTGTAAACAATAGCTGAGACAGTATTATAAAAATGTATTTTAAAACGGATATTTTCATGATAATAATTAATTGTAGCCCGATTGAAATAAGTGAATTATATTGTCTGTGGTAGGCCGGTAGTCTAATCGTCATTGACAATAGCAGTTTTATTCATCCTATAAATCACTCAATCACACAACAATAATGTATTACTTTTATTTTCTACATTGCTTATAGGCTACTATCCAAATTCTATCCTACAAAACATCTCATAACTATTCTACCTACAAAAACGTGCAATTTTTGCACGGGCCCTACTAGTCTAATATTAGTTTTAAATACTTTGTTCTAGCCTATTACATTCTGTAGTGGGAGAAGAATGTTCTTATATAGCCGGATCTTGGATGGGAAGAAGGTATTTCAATGTTAATCTTCAGGAAGAGGGCATAATGGATCGCACATTCGCACACACATAACACCAACCTCTTGCAGAGTTTTTTTCTTCTGAACGAGATTTGGAACCTTCACCTGAAGTAGATGATTGTCGGGTTGATTTTGTACCATTTTTTTCTGGTGTTGCACTTGTTTTTTTCAATCTAAAAGCTTTCCTTCTTCTTTCCATTTTATATATGATTGTTAACTAACAAGTGCTTGAATTTGCTAGAAAATTGATGAAAGAATATCACAACATCACTTGCTACTAATACCTGCAAAAAAGTTGGGGGTAGTAAGGTACACAACTAAAACTCTGTATATATAAACTATAAATTTGTTCCAGCCGCACCCTTGGCTCCAGTAGCTCCAGTTATGCGGCTGTAGACGCTCGATAGGAATGGGTTGCATTTACTTTACATTAAAGCATTAAATTTTTTCAGCTGCGCGGCAGAAAAGTTAAGAGCGACTTAACGGTCGCAGGATAGGAATTGTACCTTTAGGTCAAAGTGGTGCCACAATATTTTTCCAGCCTTGCTACAAAAACCAGAAACCTTTATCTTGCCCTCTGTGTCTTCCACGAAGCAGCTTGGCACTATGTTCCTCAGACAAAGAGAGTTAGCAAAGGAGAATCCTAGGTTATCGTGTCGTCAGTTTCAGAACCAAAAGGAACTTAGTTGAATTGTGCAGGACAGTGAGATCTGGTGTTAATCACAGATTTCTGTAGCATATCCTATTCCTATAGCCTACCAACGTTTTTATGAAGACATACTGGAAAGGACCACTTACTGTAAACTATAGCATCTTGTAAGCTTGTGTATCATTTATTAAATCAGATAAAAATAGAATTTCCACTGTAGCGCAATTTGTGAGTAGCTTAACAAATTCTAAATTTGAATTAAATATGTGGAATACCATTGCTACGCTATTAAAGACAGATACTACTTAGCTTTTTGGTAATAGGAGAAGTAATTTTTAAAGTTAATACTATTTCTGTCACCGATAGCTCCCTTGTTCAATATATATGTTCCAGCCGGTTGGTGTTAATATGAAAGATAAGCGTTATTTTTACTCCTCATTCTAACAGTTCAGACGAAAATTGCCTATGTCATATTCTCAGGAACCCAACAACTTACCAAAGTACTTTGCATTATATTGTAATGCTTGCTGTTACAGTAAAAGCAAGACACAAATAGCGTTATTTCACTAGCTAGTTCCAACAGTTCAGACGACATTATAAAAATGTTATAGCATAATATTCTAAGAACACTACCAAATATATTAGCCAACCAAGGTATCGTAACATTCATTATAATTAAAGTATTAGTATTTGATTGCCCTATTACTTATGTTAAATAATGCCCTGGTCCACCTCAGATTTGAATGAGAAATTGGTCCATAGGCGGGTCAATCCATTTAAAGTCATACAGGCATAGTTGCTCAACATTTTTAATTTTTATGAAACTTTCATAAAATGTTAACTGTATCAATAGAATTGACATGCAAGTGTTAATCATTTTTTTTCTCTCAAATTTTTTTTGGCGGCCATATTTGTTTGAGCGAAACGCGCGTTTTTTACAAAAATCGACGTTTACTAAATATTTAATAGCTTTTTTATTTTTTAAGATATCAGGACAAATTAAAAACCAAAATATTCAGCAAGAAATGGGCTTAAAATTGATATATAGGCTAATAAATGACATAAATATGTTGTCTAGCATGTAAAATGCTAAAACGTAAAAAAACGATTTCAGCGGTGAAAATGTAATTTTCCCTGCAATATTTTCATAAGAAAAAGTAATTACTCACCTTTAATATTTTTTGTATTTTAAAGTTGGCATATGAGACAGTCTAAATCTCAAGTTTGGGTTATGAAAGTCTTATCCTTTTTTTCTTTATAGGTCCATAAATATGGTGGATTATCCGATTTCCGCCATTTTCGAGATCTTATATCACTAAAGGGACTGAACCAAAATCAATCAAATTTCTGCCATCTATATATCTAATTCCGTAAGCCCAAAATTTTACAATGAAATTGTGAGCGAACCGGAGGGCGTAGAAAGCTGGGAGGGGTCTCATTTTAAAGGTCTGGGCATGAAATTTTGGGGAAAATTATTCATTTTTCTTAATTATGCACCAAAAGGTTGTGACAGAATAAAATAATTCACATTTAAATAACATGGGAATCTAGGTCATGTTTGCTTTGTTTACATTAAAACATGTGGTTTAACTTTATTTAAAGCATATGGTAATATGTAATATGCACTGTAATATGTATACTAATAGTCCAGGCAAACTAAACAAACTTACATAGGGACCGTTAAAAAAATTGCAAGAAAACGTTTTATGGTTTTATTTTGTAGAGTTGGGTTTGCAGAATGACATACTAAAAGTTGCCAAAAATCGGTGCACGAGAAAACCACTAAAATCACAATTTAAAATGGCGGCTTTTTTCAACATTGGACAAATTAAAAAAACATATTTCACATGCATTTGTTATGCACATTTTTCGAGATATTGACTTGGGACCACCGCCTGTATTTATTGAGTGGTTAGTACTTCATTTTGATAGGGAACATGTTTTTGGCCGCCATCTTGGATCCGCCATATTGGACATAGATAATTCTTTTTCAATGTAATGATAGTGTTGTGACACATCATTACCAACTACATCCGTTTTTAAATATCTTTATTCATTTAGAAGATATATACAAAAGAAAACTCTGCACCATACATTTCTTATGGACGTTTCGTAGTTTGATATATTTTTTAAAATTATTTTTCTTATATCTCCAGTTCTTATTAACGCTTGTAGTTCGTTCTAGGCTTAAAATATTCAGTAATGTAAGGGCTTTCATTTGAGCTCTTGATCATTAAAATCAGACGAGTTAAAGACCAGCTACGAACCTCAGAACAATATTAAATTTAACTTTTTAGAAATATATATTTATTAAAAGATTTATAACTCGGGTTGTTAATAAGTCACCAAGTTCTTTCTGGTCTCAAATTACTCAGTGAATGTTTAGCTTTGATTTTAATAATCACTAAACAAAATCTGACAATTTTAAAATGAGTCATGGTTCTTAATTTAACATTAAAATGTATTTATTTTGAAATTTGTCTTTAGTTAAGGACATATATCCCAAACCCTAATAACTCCCGGAAAGTAATCCATAGCTAAAATAAAAGTCAACAATTTGGCGAATTATTTAAGACTATAAAGAGTTTTGTGAGTTATTTAGAATTGGGGATATACGTCTTTAACTAAAGACAAATTTCAAAATAAATACATTTTAATGTTAAATTATGGCCCATGACTCATTTTAAAATTGTCAGATTTTGTTTAATGATCAATAAAATTAAAGGCAAACATTTACTGAGTAATTTGAGACCAGAAAAAACTCGGTGACGTATTAAAAACCCGAGCTATAAATCTTTTAATAAAAATATATTTATAAAAAGTTAAATTTAATATTGTTCTGAGGTTTGTAGCTGGTCTTTAACTCGTCTGATTTTAATGATCAAGAGCTCAAATGAAAGCCCTTACATTACTGAATATTTTAAGCCTAGAACGAACTACAAGCGTTAATAAGAACTGGAGATATAAGAAAAATAATTTTAAAAAATATATCAAACTACGAAACGTCCATAAGAAATGTATGGTGCAGAGTTTTCTTTTGTATATATCTTCTAAATGAATAAAGATATTTAAAAACGGATTTCGGCATTGAAATCAGTGTAAAAATGTAGTTGGTAATGATGTGTCACAACACTATCATTACATTGAAAAAGAATTATCTATGTCCAATATGGCGGATCCAAGATGGCGGCCAAAAACATGTTCCCTATCAAAATGAAGTACTAACCACTCAATAAATACAGGCGGTGGTCCCAAGTCAATATCTCGAAAAATGTGCATAACAAATACATGTGAAATATGTCTTTTTAATTTGTCCAATGTTGAAAAAAGCCGCCATTTTAAATTGTGATTTTAGTGGTTTTCTCGTGCACCGATTTTTGGCAACTTTTAGTATGTCATTCTGCAAACCCAACTCTACAAAATAAAACCATAAAACGTTTTCTTGCAATTTTTTTAAGGTCATATCCTATATTTACCCGACTATAACCCTTAAGAGAGGTTGAACCTACCAATTGACTATATTAATTTAATTGCACGATCTGGAATGCCACCACACAAATTAGTTTTAAAAGTTGGTTCAATAGTGATGCTCATTAGAAATATGAAGCTAGGGTCTGGATTAGTTAATGGAGTACGATTGGTTGTGTTAGGTATTACTGGAAAAAGTGTAAAGTTAGTAGTAATTACTGGAGTAGGCAAAGGAAACGTATTCTCCATGCCAAAAATAATACTAATATCCACAGATCCTAATATGCCGTTTAAGTTTACAAGGAAAATTTTCACAAAAATTGGCATTTATTTGAAAAATTTATCTCCATGTATTTTATCTAAGTGAATTTGTCTATATTCAAAGAAATGTATATACATTTAATTAATAGTCATGAAGATTATCATTGAAAATTATCCTTAGTTGTATTATGATTAGAAAGTTTATACTATAAACACACCGCATGAAAAATCCTTTGTAATTTTTATTTTTAACAGAGCAGACCTCAAAATGCATTATGCAGGTATGTAATAACTATTATACATATTATAATATACAATAATGTTAAACGATAATCAAGGTAGGGTATCTTATGGGACTAATAATTTGTACAAAATAATTACTACAATATATACATAGGGGCTACTGCCCCTACAAGCCACTAGTAAGTACTTGTAGTTGTTGTAGGACTAATTATGATGTATAAGTTTGATCACTGAGACTCAACTAGTTTAGAAGATATGCAACATCAAAGTTGGACGAAAATAGCGTAACAAGTAGCGTTAGAGTTAGAACAAGTAGTCGACTAAGCTAATCAGTTTACATTTATTTGTTGTAAAAGGGTATGTTACTATGTTACAATCATATACACACAAATAAAACTTTATTAGATTAATTGGAGGCTTACACAATAAACTTTCATGTTCATCTTGGTTTTATTGACACTTTTTCAAGAAACGTATGGATTAAAAATGTTTAACCGTTTCTGATAAGACATTAAACAGAGTGTAAAAAATGTCATAGGGATCACATTCCCTTATACAGTATTGATTCAATATTTAATCAAAGAGTTGAATAAAGTTGAAATCTCATTGCACAGTTTTTGTGAGATATTGTAATTTCTTCCAGATGTGGTTGATAACTCTAATGGAGTAATATTCCGTAGAACTCTTTTAACTGGAACCCAAAAAGTGTCATTTGTTAAGAGTTTAAATGATGTGTTGGGTCCTGATAAATGGAAAAAGTGAACCAGGACGTCCTTGTTGTCTTCATTTTTGTCTTGTATTTTGCCAATCCACCACTTCTCGTCATAAATACACGCTATGTTGTCTTGATTGTTAAAGGATTAAGTGTTAGTGAACTATTGATGTTGGCTGGTCTTCGAAATGTGTAGATTTTGATGTTTGAAAACATCTGATTTGGTTGTCACTTAGCGGGAAAAACCTATGGCATTTTCTTGTACCTGTTACAGGCAAGCAGCATTCAAACCTGCCTACCTTTAAGTTGCTCTTCCCATTCTTCAATTTCTCTCGATGTTTATACCCGTAATTTTTTCAGTGCAGAATTTAAACATTTCTTATGGGTTCAGTATTTGGTTTTGATACAGTCTTTGCATACTAGCTCAAGTTACTTCTCGTATCTTGCCATGTGAGGAGTTCATAGAAGGCTTGATTGATAAACTTATGTCCCTAAAGGCCCACCATTTTATATTCAAAACACAAACAACACAAGTAACTCGAGCTAGTATGCAAAGACCGTATCAAAACCAAATACTGACCCCAGAAGAAATGTTTAAATTAGGCACTGAAAAAATTACGGGTATAAAATACATATAAGCTACATCGAAAGAAATTGAAGAATGGGAGATTAACTTAAAGGTAGGCAGGTTTGAATGCTGCTTGCCTGTAACAGGTACAAGAAAATGCCATAGGTTTTTCCCGCTAAGTGACAACCAAATCATATGTTTTCAAACATCAAAATCTACACATTTCGAAGACCAGCCAACATCAATACAGTTCACTAACACTTAATCCTTTAACAATCAAGACAACATAGCGTGCAATGTAAACTGATTAGCTTAGTCGACTACTTGTTCTAACTCTAACGCTACTTGTTACGCTATTTTCGTCCAACTTTGATGTTGCATATCTTCTAAACTAGTTGAGTCTCAGTGATCAAACTTATACATCATAATTAGGCCTACAACAACTACAAGTACTTATGGCAGAAATTTGATTGATTTTGGTTCAGTCCCTTTTGTGATATAAGATCTCGAAAATGGCGGAAATCGGATAATCCACCATATTTATGGACCTATAAAGAAAAAAAGGATAAGACTTTCATAACCCAAACTTGAGATTTAGACTGTCTCATATGCCAACTTTAAAATACAAAAAATATTAAAGGTGAGTAATTACTTTTTCTTATGAAAATATTGCAGGGAAAATTACATTTTCACCGCTGAAATCGTTTTTTTACGTTTTAGCATTTTACATGCTAGACAACATATTTATGTCATTTATTAGCCTATATATCAATTTTAAGCCCATTTCTTGCTGAATATTTTGGTTTTTAATTTGTCCTGATATCTTAAAAAATAAAAAAGCTATTAAATATTTAGTAAACGTCGATTTTTGTAAAAAACACGCGTTTCGCTCAAACAAAAATGGCCGCCAAAAAAAATTTGAGAGAAAAAAATGTTTAACACTTGCATGTCAATTCTATTGATACAGTTAACATTTTATGAAAGTTTCATAAAAAGTAAAAATGTGAAGCAACAAAAAATATTCATTCTAGGTATGATTTGTAATGGATTGACCCAGGCTGTAATATGTAGGTAAATGACTAACTTAATGCCTACTCAAGTTCCCAAACTAGTCAAGATGGTACTTTAGTACTATCCGGAGGCCACACTTATACAGCAGGCTGCGGCGGTTATGTTAGGTTGGGTTAACAGACACCCAACTTAAGTTAGCTTATGGGTTTTAAGATTAAGTTAAATTACAAAACGAAAGATTAAGCTTAAGGCCTAACTTAGCTAGTAATCAAGTAGGCCTAGTCAAGTATTTTATTGATCGTTAAATAATCACTGATTAGTGATTACAATCAACCTCGTCAGAGGCACATTATATAGGCTACTCAATACGGCAGCGATATATTATCACAGACACATTTTTTCATGCATATAAAATAGGCTATATCTCAGACGTTATAATAAATAAATAGTTGTACAGTTAAGTGATTTGAAGTGAGGTTAGATTAGGAAGGTTAAGGTTAGGTTATTATGAACCGACTCATTAATTTATGCTACTTTCAGACTGTTTTTGTACAATTAAATAGTGGGTGAAACACAGTGAAATAACGATAGGCCTACCCACGATTACTAGAAAAATACCGGTATTACCTTATTACCTTATTACCTTCTTCTTCACCAAGACCAGCAATGCCGGATAGGTTGTGTCAATTGAATTAATAAAAATAAAATAAAATACTGACTGATACGCTTGTATCTTACTATTTACATATAACACACGTAACTTATGGCGGTGGATGTAGCCTCAATTTAGTTTCGGTTTAGTTTTTAAAAAACTCATCCAGGCTATAGAGTGGCCTTTCTACTAGCCATGCCTTCAACACTTTGTCAAACTTCCTTGTTTCAAGGTTCTTGATTTCTTGGGGCAAATTGTTGTAAATCTTGAGCGCTATGGTCGGGAAAGCATTTTTAGTTTTAGAGAGCCTGCAAAAGGGAAGGTCTATTTCCTGATTATGTCTTGTTCTGTACGTATGGACTGTATTTCTGGTCGGAAAATTTTGAATATTGTTTTTTACATATGATGCACATAGGAGAACAAAGTGGCTGTAAACTGTTAAAATTTTTGTTTCTATAAAAAGAGGCTTGCAGTGGTCCAATCGTTTTCTAAACGTTATTATCCTGATAGCCTTCTTTTGCTCTAGAAGAACTTCATGGCAGTTAGGCGCATGCCCCCAAAGCAGCAGGCCGTAGCTTAGCACGCTATGGAAGAGGGCGTGATAGACGACCAGTAGGTATTGTGGTGTTACCAGCTTAGACAGCTTTCTTAGCAGACACACAACTCTCGATAACCTTCTGCATACAACTTCAATATGCTCAGACCAAGTCAGTTTGGGGTCAATCGTGAAACCAAGCAGATTAACTTTAGTTTCAATCTGAGGATGTCTGTTAGTATGGATCATAAACATCAACAAATGACGTTTTTGGCCCGAAAATAAACATTATTTAACATTGGTTGAATGGAACTGCTTAAACATAAGTTTATGTTCAATGCTATTAGTGTAGGATTCGGGCCAACAACGTCATTTTGTTTATGTTTATGATCCATACCGGGTATTTTTCTAGTAGGCCTAATCGTGGGCCTACCTATCAAAAATGTGTAAGTTTAAGCGCGGTTATAGGCCTAGTAGTATGTTTTCTGTGCCTAGGGTCAAGTAGGCCTAGGCTCTAATGCTTAACTGAAAAGTTTTACCTAGGTCTATATCGAGCTAACTTAGGCCTAGGCTAGGTTAAACTTAATTAGGTCTTAGGCATATGTCAAAAAATAGCTTAAAACCCCCAGCTAATAACTTATTAGTGTTAAATTTTAAATACAACATTTAGGATCAAACCTAGGCTAATAAAAGGGTTTCTTAGGCCTACAGGCTACTGCATTATAAATGTGACATCTTAAACTTTTGAACTTAGGCCTACTAACTTAAGTTTTTAGGCCTAAGTAGGCCTAGTCCAACTTAGCCTACAATGGATAAGTTACTAAGGCCTAGGCCTAGGCTAGTTGAAATAGAAATAGTAAGACCAAACCTAGGCCCTACCCAGTGAACAGAACAAGTCTACTTCAAATAAGACTTACTCTCAATTTCAATAACACTCACAAATCACACTTCTTTCTAATATGAGGTACCTCATTCATACTTCACTAATGTAAGGCTCAAGTTTATCCTGACATTCTGTCTGACGGATATGTGATTTCTCATACAAAATATGAAATACCACCTTATCACTTTTAGCTCACGCACGGGCTCCGGGCGGGCTCAGCTGTTTAATATTTTCTTTATTCTTTCACTTTCAGTTATCAGTTCTCAAAGGCAAAATTGCTGATGGATAGGATGAAGTACTTAAGGTTTTCTTGTCAAACTCAAAGCTCTACACTTACACTTCAGTCTTTCTTGTTCTTCAGCCATAACATAACATTTATGACATGCCGCCGTGCCGATTGCCGACGTGCCTCCCATGCCTGCCAGTGCCTGCCTGTTTGTTTATTACCTGTTGCTCTGTTGGACCAAACATTTTGGCGCCAAGGTAGAAAAAAATATGATGTTCTTATTCATGTAGCTACTGAATGGTGGCCGATTGAGATAGTATATAAATGATAAATGATTTTTTTAGCCAATCGGTACAATAATACAATATGCATTGTCATTCTTAAAAAAAAACTACCCCGCCGCAGCAAACCTGCAGACTAAGCGAATTTCCATTTACCTGGATGGATTTCTACTAAAAAATTTCCTGAAAATTTTCAGATTTATTTCACTTATCATGCTGGTTTGCGAACTCGTTCAAATAAACGTAGGTTTACATGTTTATACCAAATTTCATCAAAATCGGATCATTTTATTTGCTCGAGTTATCGCGGTAACAGACACACACACCCCCACGCAAGTCAGCGACCGCCATGCGCACAAGCCCCACGACAAACCTACCATGGCCATACGCTCAAAATAGAGATTTTTTAGTGCTGCCACAAACCGGGAACGACTATCAAGGGATTTTAAAACCTCAGTGACCATACTATGAAGCTGTTTAAACACCTAAAAAACTTAACAGGACTATATCATAAGTTCTTAAAAATTAAATGAATAAAAAATAAGTTCAATTATACTTTCTTTAACACTAATCACACACATATTAGAGATGATAAAACTAAAATACAGCGAGTAAATACGCGTTTACGGAGCTCTATTGACTTTCTGACGGCGAATCCAATAACTATAAATGGGACAGATTTGCTTTACAGTGACAAGGTCAAAAACTTAGGGCTTATAGCCTACTATATCAACTCGACACTTATACTTGTGGTGATGCGGCAGGGCATAAAATAACATGTTAACTGGGCGACACAAGTGTCGCCCAGTGCTGAGATTTTGTCGCCCAGTGACTATGGGTGGAGCCGGCTTATTTTTTTTTATGATTCACATTTTAGATGTATTGGAATTTCAAAAATAACATTAATGAAATATTTTAGAGTATTGAGCTATGATTTTGGCCCAAGACGTTGTGAATGGAGCCTTGACATGTTACAATGTTCTAGAATACATAATTAAGTGAGATTACATGGATTATTTACAAGCAAATATAATCAAAAAATTAAATGAAAGATACGTAGAAATGTGTGTTTTTCACTTTAACTTATACAAAAATTTCCCCACACCCCCCCCCCTTTTGAAGGGGGGGGGTCCCCCAGACCTCCTGGTAAGTCCGGCGTCTTTGTCGCCCAGTGGAAATCCCTTCCCAGATAGCAAAAAATACTTGATTAAAGCTTGAAACAAGTTTGATTTGTCAAATCTGCAAACTTGAATCAAGTTTGCTCAGATGGGCCCGTAAACTTGATTCAAGTTAATATCATGCGTCGAAGTTCCCGCTCTTCCAGTTTGAATAAAACTTGAAACATCTAATTTGAATAAAACTTGAAATTTCTAATTTAAATAAAAATTGAAACATCTAATTTGAATAACACTTGAACTATCTAATCTAAATATAAATTGAAAAAAATACTTGATTCAAGCTTGAAATAAGTTTGGTTTGTCAAATCTGTAAACTTGAAGGATCGGGTTTGTAAACTTGATTCAAGTTAAAATCATGCGTCGAAGTTCCCGCTCTTCCAGTTTGAATCAAACTTAAAAGATCCAATTTTAATAAAACTTGAAATATCTAGTTTGAATAAAAATTGAAACATCTTATTTGAATATTAATTGAAGAATACAAGAAATAATTCTTTTTTAGCCACTTACAAGCTCTTTTTTTATTTCTGAAAATTTAATTCATATGCTTTTACCAGGATTCACACAGTCTTACATGTAATACAAATTTCATATTTTTTAGGTTGAGATGCATAGCACAATATAATCTTCCAATATTTCAGATAATTTTTCACAATTACAACATAATCTAATAACTTCAATGCCTCTAGTTGTTACATGCTAAGACACTTCTCTAAATAAAAAAGCGAGATACCATCTAAAAACTTGTTTTTATAAAAGAGCAGGAAAACAAGAGTTATTATAGTTTTCAACCCTACAATTTTACATAATATTACTATTCAGTACGTAGAATTCAGAATTCTTTGAAATTAAAAATAAAACACAAGAGATAATTTGTCTAAATAGATTTATATTGAAGATTTACATAACACATTCACATTTGAAAATGCCTCGTATCTTTAACTTTCAACAAACAGTTCCCTCAAAAATTCCTCTTTTTACGATTACTTTTAAAAATAATACAGAGTAAGTTATCTATTCAACAAGATCTTCATCCCCATTGAGTGGAACTTCTTCCCCACTGTCCACAGTGGCAGGTTTTTTTCCCTCTGAAAAAAGTCAAAACAAATAGAATCAATATTAAATTTAAGGATAATCAACCAAAATGATTAATTTTGTATCTGGTATAAAAAAATAGGCAAGTAAGCAACATTTTAAGCTAACGCAGTTTAACTCACAACCAGTGTAGGCCTGTTTAGTGAAAATTAATTTATTCCTACAATGATACAAATACAATATATGATCTTCCCAATAATATTAGTATTAATTATTACTATGTATAAAACACAATTACATTTTGATTGTCAAAAAATGCTAAACACAAGCCCAGGATTGTTTTCACATTACTTCAGGCAAAACCTAGGCGTTGCGGCATTATCACTTCGATAAAATAAATAGGTGAATCTGCGGGATTTTGTATTTTACGGTTTAAGTATAAAACTAGTTGAGCGAAGCTCACTTTGTAACTTCTTTGTAAGAGCATCAGAATGTAATGGCTTGAACAATTGATATGAAATTTGGCCAACAGCTTAAGAATACTGAGCACAATGTTTAGGTAAAAAATATTTGCAAATTTCCTTCTGGATTTTATTTTACGCGTCACGCAATTTCGCTTGTTATTTTAATATAAGTTGAAAGAAAAATTATATTGGGTCTATGACATATGGGTTTATCTCGTTTCATTTAATTAAGATAAACATATGTTAATTGTTTGTAACTGTTTTGTTTACATTTCAATGTTTACTTTCATCCTAGGTTAAAGTTGGAATGTAACAGTTTATCAATGGAAGTAACAGTTTTGCTATATTTGTTTTGAGCATGCCTCAAAGGCCACGTCGTAATATTGGTCGACGCACCAATAACGCAAATATTGTAAGAGAGTGGCGTCGTGAACAAGAAGAACCAGATGAAGCAGTGGTGGAAGAAGCTGATAATGATAGGCAGTTAGCTAATCAATTCCAACACGAATTAGATGCACTAAAATTTTACATTTGCACTAACTGTCATAACCAACAACTAACAGCTTCAAGAAATTTTTTGGTGTTCAAACCAATCACCGATTTGTTCGCGTTGTCGTTCAAATGCAACTAAATTCACGGCGTTAAATAATATGGATGTGTCAAGTGTCCCGAACGAATGAACTGACCTGACGATTGTAGAACAAATGTTGATTGCACGAGTACATCCCGCTATGCGCATTTACAAAGTACAAGCAAATGGTCAGGCTTTTATCAATTCTTATTCTTAACTAAATAAATGAACTATCAGATAAATTTGTCATTCTTTAGAACCTAAATAATATCGGGCAAACAAACGGTGAATCTGTTGAAAGGGAACATGTTGTAGGTTGTTAGCTGCTTTAGCCATTAATCTTCAAATAATGCTTCGCTCATTTATGCGTCTAAAGTGTAACGGTAGACCACCCTCGTGATAGTTCTTGGTTGGTTATCCTAAATATAGCCAAGATATTTGTTACAAATCTTGCTCATACTTTACAAATATATATAAGCTTTAATTTACTGTATAAATTAATCCAGGTAAGGCCCAGCATTGCTATGAAACATGAAAACCCCTCTACAAGAATAAAAATACTAGCATTTTTCTTTTGGCGAATTTCCCTATAGGAAAAAATCTATTACCGTAGGTGGCATGGTAAGACCTAGGCCCGGAACCAATTAACTTTTTCATTTTGATGTCCCAGAGCCCAATAACACCATTCGTTCACATTTTTATATATGTATATATAGATTATATGTCCGTGAACACGATAACTTGTGTAGGCTAAGTTAATTTTTGTCCGATTTTAATGAAATTTGGTTTGAAGGTGTAAAGCGGGATAAACTTGAATAAGTTTGCGAACCAGCATGATCGGACCATGGGAACAGGGATTTATGGGGTTAAAATGGGTTTTTCTAATTTTTGACCTTTTAATCACAAAATTTCCCAATTTCTCTCCAAACCTTTTTAAAGAGCTTAAAAAAACAAATGATTTAGTATATCAAAGTGTTTTTGTACAATTATTAGTTACGGAGAAAAAAAATATATATTTTAAAATTCCCATGTTATTCTTATGGAGAATATTGTAAAATGTCGTAGTTTGCTTGTTTTTGACCAAACTTGGTAAATTTATTTATTTGATACTAAGTAATTAATATTTTACTAAAAAACACACTTTTTTACCCTCCTTGTAACAGCAAGCCTATGTACTCATTAAAGCTAATGTTAATTAAATACATTTAATTGAAAATCAATTCAGGCAAATGGAAATTCACTTAGTCGGCAGGTTTGCTGCGGCGGGGGTATTTTTTAGCTTATACAGTACTTGAGTAATCATAATAATAAACAATAAAAAATATTTTTTATGAAAAACCATTATGCAGTAGACTCCTTTTTACCCGAACACCTAGTAACCAGACTGCACTCAGCAGATATAATTCTTAAACCAGACAATTTTTATCAGTACGGTTTAACCACCCTGGATCGGCAGGAAGTGAGCGGTTGTGAAACAACTTGTCTTGTATAGGTCGGCCGCTTAGAAAACGACCTCCTCCAGCATTGGTTTAGCATTAGCGCGCAGGTCGTTTTCTAAGCGGCCGAACTAGGATAGATT